CCACTTCACCAACCACTCATCCAGCCCACACTTCCTCAGCTTCCCCAGGAGGAAAAAAATCCAGAAGAGAGTTCACCCCATTCTAAGGCAGCAGGGCTGAACAGCCACCTGGAGGTGCCTGCCTCCCTCCTCTGCTCACAGAGGCAGCCGAGGCAACGGATTCTGGACTGGGCTCTGGATTTCAGGCAGCTGGCATTATGAGAGCTGACTGCCCGCTCTTCAGGCAGATGAACAGAAAAAAAAAATGGATTTAAATGGCCCCATCTCTGCATGACACAAGGTTTGAGAGCACAGTACTGAAACCTAGAGCACTCGGCGCCCTTTTCGAAGTACAAGACATCTCCACTTTCTGCCCTTTAGAGCATTAAACATTGGACTTGCCACTAAAAGGAGAAGTAGAAAGAGTCTAGATCATCTCCAATTATTTCCTCCTCCTTTGTGGACTGTTGTTGTTTTCCTCTCTGTTGCTAGCCTCTGAGAACAAATGTACTGTGTTTTCGCCACATGTGCATAAAGAGAAACATCTGTGGAGCACCGAGTATTAACCAGTTCCTAGAAGAGGAGCTTGAACATCTCTCACTTGAATCTCTATGAGCTGAACTCCTTGCAGCAAGAGGGCAGTGGTGCTCACAGAAACAGACACTTAAAAAGCAGGGGAGGGCAATAGTGTTGTATACTATCTCGTATATACAGCCTGTTGCCAGTCACCACACATGGGTCACCAGCAACACTGTTCCCACGTCACAGAAAGGACAGTAACAGTGAAGAACAGGGAGGGGAAGAGAAATCAACCACGGATTCAGGGCTGACCCCAAAGTCGTCATTCAGAGGTGAGTTTATTGCAAGGTCTCCCCCGGCTTGGGCTGTGTTTAACTCCAGTCCTACTGTGGCGGAGGATGAAGGGATTTTTATCTATGCTTAGAGCTTCCAGGTACAAACCACAGGTAAGAGCAACAGGAAAATAAGTGAATATGTTCTCTTAAGTGGACTGCGCAATGTCAAAAGAAGTGTTAAATTTCTTCTTCCAATATAGAATATGATTAAAACAAATGCAAACTGCACACAATGCAATAAAAAACAAATGTTCCGTTTTCCATTTCTTCTTGCTACAGCTGTTTGTTTTAAACATATAAAGATTAAGGGAACAGTCTTGAATTTAATTAAATCCCCAAAGAACTAATGATATTTATGCACATTAAATTTTTAAAGGCACTTGTGGCTGTTCAGCCAATCATTCACTGGACTGTCAAAACATGCCTCCCAACCCTAACCTAAATTAGAAAGAGACCCATGAAAAAAAATGTGCAGACAGTAACCTTTTCACTGCACATATGTTTAAGAGATAAATACTCATCTAGCTTTTAAAGGCAACAAATCTAATAAATGGCCACATCATCATAATTCAATAGTGGAAAAAAAAAATCAATGTTACAAATTTTGGAACTGCATCTCTCAGGAAAGTAAATGAAAACATCAATGCAAACCTACTTTACAGAGTTTATAAGGGGAACGTTGACGTCTTCACACAGAAACTCCCAGGCCACTCTAGATGAAGCTGGGGCTTTCCCAGAGCTGTGATGGAGGAAGCAGTGCTTGGTGGGGCCAGCTGTGGAGCACAGCAGGAAGCCCCACTCCGTTGCTCGCTTTTCCCCTTCTCTATCGAGGTCATGCCCTTCTCTAGTCCTGTACCTTCAGTAAGACAACAGGCACACCAGGGCCTGAGCCTCTGATGAAGATCTCTCAGTGAGAAGAAAAATGCTTTCTTGCTCTTTTTGCAGTAAATCAAGAAAGCTTCTGTTATGGCCCTAAGTGTCTGGTCCAAAGCTGCAAGCTCTGAACCTTCTCGCTTGTTACAGGCTGCGAAGTCGCAAGGCCCCCTGCTCCTCCACCCTGCGTAATTTCCCCCCATGTATAAACATTTTGTTATCCCAGTTCATACAGAGTCACCTGTCCCACCTCAAACAACAGCCTCCTCCTCCCTGCATCTCCTAAACCCTAATAAAAGATGTTTCCCGTTTCACCCACCTATCAGCATTGCCCGACAGCATTAACAAGAGAGAACTTCAAAAGCTCAGTGAAGCACACCTCCTTGCTAACCAGAAAGCCCCAGATGCTGCTCCTTCCTCTCTCGCAAGCAATTCTGCTGACTTTCTCAAGTAAGGATTCAGACCCTGTTTAGAAAAGCATGTCCTTGCCTATGGTTAAGCCCGTTTTAACAGTTTATCGATCATAATAGGAAAAGTTCCAGCCATTAACTACTGCCGTGTTCCAATTTATGAAAGACTCTTCAACCTCATTTTGCTGACACGACACAGCCTTTGCCAGGCACCTACCTATCAAATACTCCAGCCAGAACTGGTCCGTCTCTGGCTTGTAGGGTCGGTTGAAGTCAACTTGGATTTGGAAAGGCTGTCCCCGACGCACTATCAGCTTGGGGCTGTAGTACTTGTCAGTGTGGTGCTCCTGCTTGTTGATCTCGTGGGGCTCCTGGAACATATGAATGTCCACAACATGCAGGTAGTCTGCAGAGACACATAAATGAACGGAAAGGGAAGGAGTCAGTACTTTGGAACATCACTGTTGACATCAACATCACTAGAGTCCCTGTCCTCCCCTTCCCCAGCGTTGCCTCATCAAGCAACACTGCCCAACAGAGCATGCTGGATCTGTTTGGGGTTGACGTCCTCCTGGCTGAGCAGGGACTGTGGACTGACGCTTCTCTGTCCACCTGCCATTTTCACAGAGGCTGCAAAGCTTCTAGCGAATGACGAAAGCAATTGCAGAAGGAACAGGCTGCTGTGGGTGCAAAGCCGAATGTCCCCAAGGAGGGCTGGGCTCCATCTTTACTTTGGCATCGGCTTTCTGCAAGCCTGGGCCTTGCTGTCGCAAGTTTACCAGGGTAATCAGTGGGCCTTTGGCAGCTACGGTTTCATGTCCCCCTTCTCGCAGCCCCCCGTTTGAGAAATGCAAATTCACAAGGGTTTTGTGGCACTGGAATACGTTGTTGTTTGCAAAGCGCTACGGCTACCGAGTGCTGAAGAGCCTGAGAGGCAGTTAACGACCTTGCATTCAGCAGAGAGCTTAGATTGTCTGTATTAAATAAGGTTTTGGTGTACCGTATGTGTCTAGACTCAGCTTCTCAGTACACCTCCACTGCTATTAGTGTCTTCTTATGAAAACTAAATATAACATTACAGTGCACAATTACATCACAGAGTTATAGGCAAACAGCAGTAGGTATCTATAACGTGCCCGGGCAAAGCTTCGCTCTTCCCATCAGGGCTGTCTAAAGGGTTAGAGCCTACCAGTGCTAGAAGTGAGTCTGCTCAGCTCATGGCCATCCCGGGGTGGCCCTGGGACAGCCAAAGGCGCTTGCAGTCACCACAAGCTACACGACTGTACCATAGCAGGAGTCTTCGCCATGGGAGTCTTCTCACGTAACGAGCAACCACGGGAAAACCAACTGGACATCAACTCTTTCGCCTACACGCCTGGTCAGGTAACGACGAAACCTCTGCCAGGAGGACCATTACTGCTCACCACCAGGAGAGAGACAGCAGAGTACAGCTTGATTTGCAGCTCTCAGCTTGTGTTTCCAGGTGCCAACAGTTGGAAACTAGCTAATTTCTGGGTTTTATACTGACGGTGACGGAGCCAGACTCACACCTGGCAAACCGAGGTGCACGTTGGCAGCAGCCGGCGGAGCCGCGCGTGCTCGTGGCGGTGGCTGATTTGCCCTGCTCCCGAGTACACCGTGAGCAGGAATGATGTGCTCGGCCAATGAGTCGGACACTCAAGTCACCCCGTTCCCCAGAAGCTCAGAGAACAACGTCGCACGCCGCTTCTCCTCGAAGGCAGGGTGACTCCGCAGAGCAAGCAGCAGAGAAGCTCCCTCTCCGGTGTGCAGCCTCCAGGCTACGGCAGCGCGTGCGTGAGCCCTGCCCTGCTGCAGGGATGCGTTCAAGGCAGGCAGCGACTGCCCTGGATGTCAGCGTGGTCCTTCTGCCCCGGCTGAGCCACCCGGCCTGGGCTCTGGGTGATGGCTAAAAGAAGAGGAGGAAATAAGGGCAGCAGGAGCAGGTCCTGCTCATGCGTTGTCACCATCAGCTGCCCAACCCTGCCCTTCAGGGGACAGAAGGGAAGGAAACTGCGCAAGGGCACAGCAAGATTAGGAGCCTTTCATGGAAAAGCCCTGGACAACTGAACCCAGAACTGTCTGCCTTCTGCTATCTCTGACCTTCAAGAAGGCTGGCATGCCCTGTCCAACCCGGAGGAAGGCTTGAAGTCCCCTGGCAATGCTCTTGTTATTCTCCACTCAACTCGCCAGGCTTCTGGAGTAACTCGTGTAGCTCCCTCTGGCCTCAGTGCTGGCTGAAGGTACAGAGGTGGGTTCTGCGTGAAACATCAAAGGTGTTTTGCTCAGAAATCATTCTCATTGCCCCTCTGCGAAGCGGGGCACGTCTTTCCATACCTCTCTGCAAAACTCGCCAACGCTCACCCGCAACAACGCTGACAAAGCTCACCGTCCCGCTACGTGAGGCAGGGATGTGCCAGAGGGGGGTAAAGGAGAGCGGCAGGGAAGAGTCCCTCCCGCTACATCTCCCAGCCCTTCCCAGGCTGAAAGCACTGCACATGAAAGCTGTGAACCTCAGGGCTCTGCGAGGGGTGAAGCTATCTGTAAGTTTGGCTGAGCTTCTCCCTCCTTCCAAAAAGGCATAGAAAGGGAGGTGAGGGTTTACTGTGTTTTCATCTCGTGTTCTGAACCAAAAGGCAGCAGCAACGCTGCCCTTCCTTTGCACGTTAGCCACTTCCAGGAACCGCAGAGCTGAGCCATCAGCTCAGCATTTGCTTTTTATCTCAGGAGTTTACATGGCTCCTATGAAAACGCAGCCATACACATCTGCAGAAAACACATTTCACTTTCAGTGTCAAAAGGTAAGTTGAGCTTGCCAGACAAAGATAACCTGGGACCCAGTCTGTGTTAATTACAGTAATGGTAATTACAGAGGACAAAACATGAGCAGGGTAATGGGATGTGCTAACCATCCCCAGGGTGCGATCCAAGGGAAGGCTCCAGGCTACGTGCACACCTCAGAGCTCCTCTGTTTGTGAGGGCCAGGTGGCCATCGAGGCCTCCTTTGAAGACAGGTCCATTTGACGGTTTGCCCATAGCCTGGTCTGCTGCTCAGTGCAAGCAGCTTTGCTGCATGAGAGGCAGCAGTCTGATGCTTTCTCAAAGCTTCTGCAGTGTTAAGCTTGCGTGGAAATAAATGAGCACAACCTTGAGCTGTTTTTTGAATAACAAGAATAGCCTGGAAACATCGTGTTTTCTTGGAGGACCGGAGAGGAGATGCCTGGACAAGGTCCTCTACAACCTGCTGTAGGTGACCCTGCTTCGGCAGGGGGTTGGACTGGGTGACACACAGAGGTCCCTTCCAACCCCTACCATTCTGTGATTCTGTGTCAGCAGACAGCCAGTCAGGCACAGGGTTCCACCTCATCCTAGAGTAGCAGCTAAAATAGGTCAAGTGAATCACACCCTAAAAATGCCTGTTTCTCTCCGGTGGCTGTCAAGGGAAACGGGGCAGACACCTACACCGCACGTATCAAGGGCAGGATTCGGTTAAATTTAGGCATCCGAATGATGTGAGCTTGGTGCGTAACCGCTTGTCACGGCCAGTTGGTGGTTGGTGGCTGCAGCTCATGGAGCCGAGAGAAGGGTACAGACCACCCTGGAGGTAACACCCGGCAGCTCTACGGACAGCCTGTGCCCTCACCTCCACTCGCTGGCTGGCTCTGTGTTGGCTAGGAGCTGACACGGGTGACATCTCGATGATTACAGCGGGTGTCCAACCCCACCCCAAAGGCCAGGAAACCCCTAAGCTATAACAGCAGGGAGAACAGCGTTTGCATGCTTTTTCTAGTCTGTCGTGGCAATGAAATATGGGAACTGCTACAAAAAATTTGGACAGCCCAGCAGTGTGCAGGAGCAGGGGGAGGAGGTGGCATGAGCAGCCCTTTGCCAGCACGTGCTGGTGGCACAGATCCCTGCCACACTGCAGCTCCTGCTCTGCCTGTGGATGCTCACTCCGTCCCTCAAGCACGACACTGCCAGCGCTCTGGGCAAGCTCAGCTCCTCAGACCAAGTCCCAGGCTGAGTTGCTCTGGGCTAGAGATGTTTAACATGCTCTGACAGGTGACTAAAGTGTCCTGCCCCAAAACAGTGTGTCCAGGGACCACACCTACATCGGCTGGTATCACAGGCTTAGATCCCAGTTGACGTGCACTGAACAGAATCACAGAATAGTAGGGGTTGGAAGGGACCTCTGTGGGTCACCCAGTCCAACCCCCTGCTCAAGCAGGGTCACCCAGAGCAGGCTGCACAGGACCTTGTCCAGGCGGGTCTTGAATATCTCCAGAGAAGGAGACTCCACAGCCTCCCTGGGCAGCCCAGGCCAGGGCTCCGGCACCCTCAGAGGGAAGAAGTTCTTCCTCGGGTTCAGCTGGAGCTTCCTCTGCTTCAGTTTGTGCCCATTGCCCCTTGTCCTGTCACTGGGCACCACTGAAAAGAGCTTGGCCCC